CACTCATTGATTAATTGGGGTTTTATACAGTGGTGCTACCTCATTGTTAACCCTTCAGTACCTACTAGCTAGAACTGTATATGAAGAGCTTTATTGATTGAGGCTCTCAGATTTCTATAAAACATTCCATGGATAAAACTATACTCATTCTCATTACTCTTGCTTGTATTTAATGTTTGCCTTTTTAAATGCTCTCACATTCATTTGGTAAGCATTAATTGAAAAATTATATGATTAGGCAGGCCGAATCCCAGGTGCTGGTGATAGAAGAGCAGGTAAAACTCTCTGCCTTCACAGTGCTGCCTTGCTTTAGAGCAGTGGCTAAGAGTAGTCTAGTAGATATGGATGATGGTTCGAATTCCCCCTGATATTAGTAATTTCTAGTGAAGTTACTTCATCTTTGGTGACTTTCTCTTTCTTTCTTTGAACTTCAGTTCTCTCACCTCGATGCCCTGCATTAAATACATAAAAATCTGCATTACTATAGTTGTAATATATTCTTCAGTTTCATAAAGGGATTTTTTCCAGTATGCCATGACTCAGAAAAGTGGAATACACACCACAAATCGTGGCACATTAGACAAGTCATAGGTAGGAAGTCTCAAGTTTACTGGAGTGCTGTCTCAGTTCATTCTCTGATGCTGTAACAGGGTACCCAGAACTGCAGTTTGTAAAGAACACAGTTCTAGAGTCAGGAGATCCAAAAGCATGACACCAGTATGTGATGAAGGTCGTTCTTGTGCTATCACCCCCAGTAGAAGTCAAAAGGACATAAGAAGAACAAGTAAGATATCTAAGTACCCTCAAGCCCATTGGTTGGTCCATGCATGGATTAAGTGGCATTAGTATATTAGTCTGTGACTTAAACATCTCCTATGAGCATCATCTGCAACACTTTTGCCTTTGGAAGTAAGTTCCCAGTAAATGCTTCTGGATGGATGCATTCAAAAAATAGCCAGTCCTGGTGCAATTCGATAGTCACCTTTAAAACTTACATCTTGACTTCCATGAGTCAAATGTTTTGTTTTATCATAATTAAAGATTGTTTCATATTGCCAGGAGGTAGTAGCACATGCTTTTGATCCCAGCACTGTGGAGGCAGAGGCAGATAGATCTCTAAGAGTTCGAAACATATAGAATATTTCTGCAGAGTGAGTTCCAGGAAAGCCAGGGCTACATAGAGAAACCCTATCTTGAAAAACTAAAATTACTTCACGTCATGGACCTTTTGGACTTTTATGAATACTTGGAACCACAGACGTTAACTCCCTTAGGACGCAGGATCATAAATTTTATAGTATTTATCCAACTGATACAAGTGTGAGGTCATTGTGAACACATGCATGCCTTTGATCTGAGAAATGAATAAGATAAAGGAGAGAGGATGACCTTCTTAGAATATATCACAGTGGTCAAGTAAGATGGCTAAAAATCTTCATGGGAGAATCAGAAAGTGAAGTCAGTTTTGAGGAATGGATAGAATTTGCATTTTAAAAAAGATTTTTATTTTTATTTATGTACATTTGTGTATCTGTGTGAGTGTATTATCCTCAAAGGCCAGAAAAGGGCTACCCACATGAATCCTGGGAACCAAATTTGAGTCCCTTGGAGAACAACAAGTACTTCTAACCACCAAGCCATCTCTCCAGCCCTAGAATTTGGATTTTTAAAATACAGCTGAGATATGATTAGTGTTTAAAGAACATAGGCAAGAAGATGATAACTTTTCAATAGTAAGTAAAAATCTAAGTAAACTTAGATTTGGGACAAGTTTCCTTCCTCTAGGGACTTTGAACCTAACTTACCTCTTGATGTCACTGCTCAGTATCAGATAGATCAGAATGGTTAAGCTTCATGGGCTAAATCCAGCTTAAAAATCCATGTAATGAAGTTCTTTCTTTATTGATCTTTTAATCTCTATATTCATCAAGACTGAATTACATTATTTTGAGGTATGAAATTCCCTGATACTTTCTGTTAAAAATCCAAAGAGAAATGAGATTTTATTTATTTAGAGATAAATACCATAAAAAGTTTTCAAATTTAACTGATATATATATTATTGTTATTTGATTAAAATTTTTCTTTAGTGAACCTTTCTGTAGAATCTTTCCCTTTTTGTGAGTGGTAAGTTGGTTTATTTCCATCATATAGAATGTTTCTGCATTTAGATTAGTCAATTAATTTCTATACTAGTTTTTAGTGGAATGTAAAATAATACGTATTTATCATTCATTAGTCACTGATTTAACATGATGAACACTTATTTGGTAATTTAAGGTAAAGTTACTTTTAGGCTAGGCTCCTCTTTACAAACCCTGTTTGATTCACTTTGAATAGATCTTGCTTTGAATTTGGTTTGATTTTTAAGGGAAATTATGGGATTATTTAGTTTGAAAACATCTGCATTTAATTCTTGGGTACAATGACTTTTACTGGGAAACTGCTACAAGTTTTCAGGATAGTAGAATGGAGAAGTATGTCTAGAGACAAGTAAGCTGAAAGTAGAAACTATGGAAAGTTCTCTGCTGATCTTAATCAGGGCCCCCACATGAATAGATACATAGCCCTCCTTATTTGTCACTCAGATTAGATCCTTGTCAATATCTAAAATATGGAATGGAATTTTTAATGTAACTTAACTCGTTTGCCTGTTCTGTGGTGTACCCAAGAATGGAAACTTACCTACAGTTTACTGTACAAGAATTCTCTAGGGGCCTCTTCGTTTCATAGGGGTAGGACAAATGCCAGGACTTACTATTTGCACATTTCCCATAAAAAGTGTTAATTAGGTACTACCTGAACCAAAACTATGCCACACACTGAGGTCTCTTATCTCTTTTCAAGTGACCAAGTAGCTGTGCAAAGAAACAGTACCATTGGGATTTCTAAGGACAAAGGTCTAAAGATCTGAGGGCCAGCAAGATGATTCAGTTAGTGAAGGCACTTGTTCCCAAACTTGATGACCTTAGTTTGTTTCCCACAGCCCATATGGTGGAAGGAGAGAACCAACTCCTAAGTTATCCTTATACCCCTATATACCAATACACTAAATATATGATAATTCCTTAATTTGGTTTTAGGCAAAAGTTTTGGTTTAGGCAAAAGTTTGGTTCTGGACAACTTTTGTGTTGTAACCTTTGTGAAACAAGTTTTGTTTTATGAGATCTGAAGTTGCTTCCATTTGCAAAAGAAACTGCTTTATAAATTGGGAATTGTGATGTGACTCACCCTTAACAAACTCTGCCAGTGTTAACATAGGCACAGTTACATTTCTCACGCCCTGGTGGGAATGTTGCCTGAGATCTGCTCATGACATAGAACTTGAGTTCTCCATTGGTATTCACTATAAACCTCCAGTGCAGCAAATACAGAATAGAGAAATATCTACTAAGAAAGCTCAAATAGTACAAAACATTGTGGTAGATTATCAGGCCAGTAATCTTTATTACTTCTTTTTCTAACAATCTTAAAACTGCTATAAAATTTTGTCTTTAGTAAGTAAACAATGTTAAAATACCTTGAAAGCCTTTAAATGAGTTTTAAGTCTTTTTCTAGTGAAAAGAATTGTGGCAGGAAAAAAAAAGTGTCTTAGTAAGATTCATTCTCACTGACTTTCTAGTTTAATGAGACATAAGTCTAGTGACATATTAGATTATGTTTCTTACTGTATATAGTAAAACATGTATTTTAACATACAGTTACTATATGCTGTGTGAAATAAGAAATATACCATAGCCCATTAGAGATGTATAATCATGGTTATTATGTATTGGCACTTAAACGATTGTGCTGGCCAGTTGTCTTTAGTGTAGGATTGTGCTGCCAACTACTCAGTGTCCCCTCTCTAGCACCCAGAACAGGACTGTGGCTTAGTTAGTAGGGTAGAGGTTAGTAGTAGGCATCCATAACTTTCCTGCCCTTGACATGATGACTCAGAATCTTAGTATACAAAGGTCATAGGCTCCTGTTTGAGAATACATGCTGCCAAGATGTTCTGTAAGGTTTTAGAGATACAGTAAGATGATTGCTTTTAAATTTTTTTAATCAATTCCAATATTGAATTGATCTCATGACAATAGTCAGGTGGTTTGTCTAAATTGAAGTTTTGCCAGAATTTTAAATCTTTTGCAAGTTGCTCCTGTCAAGTAATAGTTCTTTAAAAAGTGAAGAGAAACATGTTAAAACATTGTCAGTTGATTATTGCAGTCAGTACAGTTTTAGCATTAATTTCATTATTTTCATAAAACTTTATTAATAGTCATTTCTATCAAAAACAGTTTTATGGATCTGCAGAGATGGCTTGGCAGTTAAGAGCAGCAAGTGTTGCCCCTGAAGAGGACCTGAGTTTAGATCTCACCATCCTCATCAGACAGCTCCATGGAACCAGAAGTCCTCTTCTGGCCCCAAAAGGCTCAGTATTCATGTTCTCATACCACATGCAGACACATACATACAGACATAATTAAAAAATTAAAATGGAAATGAGTAAAGGAATTTTTAAGATAAAAATATTCCTTAAAATGTATTGCATGCATTTTAAAATTTCATATATTTCTACTTTTTCATTTAAATAACTTTTTACTTGAGTTAAATTACTTTCAATTATTACTCCGAGTTATTAAACTAGGAAATCCTTAGGAATCTGTGTTTTAGCTAGCATCTAATAATCTATATCTAGGATAATGTCGTTTTTGATTTAGGTTTAAAGTGCTGATGAACCCTTTAATTCATTAGCAACACCTCATTGGAGAAGACAGAAGGTGTGATTTTCAGTAGTAGTAATTTATCCTAACCAACACAGAGAGTCTGAAAAGCATGTGCTCTTCAGGAGAGGAAATAGTCCGAGCCCCAGGCAGCCTTGCTGTGTTTCTGCTCAGTCTGTAGACATACCATCTGTAAATGATTACTTAGGGGCCTAAGTACCGGTTAGGCTCCCTGCCATTGAGAGAATAGAAAAAGAGTAAAGACAAAAGCACTCATCATCTTAATATCCACAGGACTGTGCTAAAGAATAATGATTTAAGATCAAGACAAGAGTTAACTGCCCACCTCACCAACCAGTGGCCTTCCCCAGGAGCTCTGGATGTCAATGCTGTTGCCTTGGATACGTTGCTTTACCGAAAACACAATAAACAGTGGTATGAGTAAGTGTAATATTTTTTTTCCAACTAATTACACATTTAGTTGTACCAAAACATGTGGCTATCCACTTTGGCATCTCAGTTATTTTTCTGAACTTATTATTAGCAAAGATAGGCTTTAGGACTCCTTTGATGAGGTCCCTTAAGAAGCAGATGTCTTAACATTTGAAGCCAAGGCGTCCTGGGGAAGCAAAATAACTAAGGAATTCCTAGGTAATAGTACCAGACCAGCTGTCTCCTGCTTATGTTATATTTCCATTCAGTCTTCAATTGTATCTATGGACTTGTTTTCATGAGGCATTTAATTTTACATTTTAGCGTTAAGATGTAGTAGCCTGAAACTAATTTTCCATATTGTTTTTTTTTTAATGCCATATTCCATCTCCTAAAAGTATCCAGTTCTCAGAGGTTCTGAATTTTGTTCATTTTAATCAGTCTATTTTTTAGAACCTATAATACAATCACTCTGCTTCTGAGCTGTAATTTCTTTGTCCTAATGTTCAGCCTTTCATTTGGCCAGATTGTATGGGTATTGAATAAGCTGAAAAATCTTAGATAATCTACATTTTGAAAATCAAGTTATATTAGCATCTTTTGGATTGTAACACTTTTCTATCTTAATCATTTGTTTCCACTATATTTGCTCTTCAGTTAAGTTCCTAACTTTTCTCCCTAATCTTCCCTCCAAGGCCCTTTCACTTTTATCTCTTTCCCTTCTATTTCTCTTTTTTACTCTTTTTCTTTCTCTTTCCATCCTTCTCTCCCCTGCATTGTCTACTCTTCTTAGAATGCCCCTGTGCTTAGAAGTCACTGGCAGAGTCACACATTTTTATCTAGGCTTCTTAGGATTCCTTGTGTTTCTGTTTGTCTGTCTGGCACTCATCTATCTTTTCTGCATTTTGACTAGTAACTTGAACAGACGTGTTTTAGCAAAAGCCTAACTTCCACCTTCTTTATTCTCATGATGTTTGGGGTTGTTGTTTAACAAGGATAGAGTGCAAATTAAATTTGACTTTTTGTTATTAAAAGCAGTACTAGAAAATTGAGCTCTTTCTTGTCTTATTGATTGTTAAAGGCAAGTAGAGGTGAACAGACTATTTGTGGAATAAATCAGAACTCTTTTCATCTATTAAACCATTTCATCTGACTCAAGGGGCTTTGGGCATTCCATAGACTAGCAGAGTTCCTTTATATACTCGTATAAAAATTTATAATAGCTGGGGGGGCGGTGGTGGCACATGTCTTTAATCCCAGCACCTGGGAGGCAGAGACAGGTGGATCTCTGTGAGTTTAAGGCCAGCCTGGTCTACAGAACTAGTTCCAGGACGTCGGGGCTACAAAGAGAAACCCTGTCTCAAAAAAACAAAACAGTTCAGGTAGCTCTAGCTTATGCTTTCAGTGTCATACTGAATTGATAGAACAATATTTATATTGTTCTATTGTATCAAATTTATGGTATACTTTATAGAAATATATGGTATACTTACTTTATATGTGACATATGGGAGACTCTTAAATTTACAGAGATGTGCTGGGGTTATGGCTCAGTTGATGAACTACTCGTGAACTACTTGTGTAAGCATGAGGACCTGAGGTTGGATTTCCCTCACCCATATACAAAGTCAGAAGTGTTACATATAATCCTAACTCTGGGGAGGCAAAGATAGGGAGATCTTGCAACCCACTGGCCAGCTAGTTTTGTCCAACCCAAGATCTCCAGGTTCAGTGAGAGACCCTGTCCAAACTTATGCATATGAACATCATTGCACACACAGATGGATACATACATATGCATATATGCACACATGCTCACTATTGTGACAGGGGCAGTGGGCAGAGCTCAGTCATTGAAGTGTTGAATATGCCAGCATGAGGACCTATATTTTATCCCCAGCTCCCATGTAAAAAGCTGAATATGGTTGGTCATACTTGTAATTCCAGTCTTGGGGAGACAGAGTCCGATGGATCTCTGGAACTCACTGACCAGGCAGCCCAGCCTAGCTGGAAAGCTTCAGGTCTGTTTTCAAAACCCAAGGTGGACAGCTCCTGTGGAATAGCATCCAAGGTTGATCTCAGACCTCTAACCATATGCGCCCATGTTACTGACACCCACACATGTAAACATGAACACACACACACACACACACACACACACACACACACACACAGGAATTGCATTAAAGCAACTAAATAAGACTTTCTTTGCAATGTACACATCATTATAAAAAGGTAAAATATTTTGACAGAAGATGTGTGCTTTTACCTATTCACACATTACCTATGTGTTGGGTAGATAAAGAACCCAGAATGGGCCTGGCTCAGCCATGAACCCAAACTCACACACATATAATTGTAGTAATCAATAAAGATTTAAAATAAAGACTGACAAGCAGAAGATGTCTATGGCTAGCTTACGTCTTCCTGTGTAATGGTAACACATTTACGAAGCAGTAACGCAGCAGTCTTGAAATGGAGGCAGGGGACCAGCCTGTCTATCCAGCATGAATTTAGTTTGTGCTTCTTGACTCACAACATCAGCTGAGGAAGGAAAGTGACCTTTTCTAGTATTATCCCATTAACTTGACTTATCTTCACTATGTTCTTACTATTTTTAGATGACCCTCAGCAAAAAGTGTAGCAGTGTAGTGCACAGGGTCTGCTGGACCTGGAGTTCAGACTCAGTAGTTGTCAGTAGCCACTGCTGTGTGATGTTTCCTTCCCTTACCTTTCTCTTTCTGCATCTGTAATACCGAAATAAGGCCTGTCTAACAGTCAAGTGCACCCTCTGGAACTTAATACTTCTCAGTGAGTATAGTTGACATGAGTTTTTCTTCATTAATTTTCCATACAAAGGAGTGCAGACCTATCTCACATTCCAAGATATGCTTTCTGAATCTTAAAGAAAATTGATTTATCTTTAGTAGTTCAGAGTATGTAATCTCAGTTACTTCATTTAAAAGTGAAGGTCTGCATTTTCAGGATAGGGAGCTTTCTATAGATGATTAAAACTGAGCAGACCTTTTCATCATTTGTGAAAACCTACAAATTATGGAGGGAATGGCAAGGTCTCTTTTAATAAGGACTGCTAGCTCTCTTGACAGCTGGCCTTACAGTTCAGTTGTTTTGGTATTAATAAGCTTCTCCTGCAAAGGTTGTGCAATGCCCAAAGCTCTGGGAGATTACTCTTAACAACTAGCCTAAGATGTATTCAAGAAGAAAGTGTCAGAAGCAAGCTTGGGATGAGTTGGGCTTAACCACACTTATTTGAGCTACTGGCAAATTAGTGAATGAGGCAGCACTGGGCAGGTTCGGAGAACACCCACCCGGCAGCAGAGCAGTGGCTTATATAAAGGAAAGAAAGCAAAGGAGAGATAACATCTGATTGGTTCTGTTTAAGTGTGACCCTCCCTTGAATGTGGAGGGAAGAGGCATTGGTCTTGTATGGGGGGGGTGATGTGACAAGCTGGCCCTCTGGGGTTGGCGGAAACTTGGCTTGTTGTTACTGAACTATAGGCCTGAATTAGGTTTCCATTTGAATACGAAACTGGCTGTTAAAGTTTACAGAAAGCAAAAGAAGTGATGGTGACTTTTGAGTGTGTTGTGTGCATGTGTCTGTTGTGCCACATCCCCAGTAACTGGAGTTACAGCTGGGAGATGCCATGTGGGTGCCAGGAATTGAACCTGGATCCTCTAGACGACCAGTGAATGCTCTTCAGCTGCTGAGCCTTCTCTTCAGCCCCAACAATTTTATTATTTCAATATGTCCCTAAGATAAACAAGAATTAAAAATAGCTTTTCTGTTTACATGTACATACATATGCCTGTGAATATCATGTACATGAATTTTTTTCTGTCTTCTTCTCTCATGCAATATAGCCCATAAAGAGCCTCCCATCCCTCCGCTCCTCACAGCCCCACCCCGCCTCTACTCTCCCCCAAATCCACTGTTCCTCTGCTTCCCTTTTGAAAACAGCAGGCTTCTCAGGGATATCAACTGAACACATTATCAAGAGTAGATGAAGCAACCCAGTAGGAAGAAAAGGGTCCCTAGAGCAGGCAAAAGAATCAGAGACATTCATTCCCCCACTGTTAGGAGTTCCACAAAACCCCAAGATAACGATGTGGTAATGATGCATGCCTTTATTCCCAGCACTTGGGAGGCAGAGGCAAGTGGATCTCTTTGAGCTCAAGGCCAATGTGGTCTACAGAGTGAGTTCCAGGATAGCCAAGACTACACAGAGAAATGCTGTCTCAAAAAACAAACAAACAAAACTAAACAATCACAGCACATACAGAGGCACATACATGCAGGCTCTGCAGTTGTCATGTCAGTTGTGAGCCCCATGAGCCCTAATTGATGTCTGTGGGTCGTGTTCTTGTGGTGACCTCCACCCTCTGGCTCCTACAGTACTTCCTGTGTGTCTGTACATTTCCTCTCACAGTTGCTGGATGAAGCCTCTCTGATGAGATTGGGCTAGGCACTCATCTATGAGTATAGCAGAACATTGTTAGGAGTCATTTTATTGACTTCCTGACCCCCGCCCCTATGGCCAGACTTGTTTGGTTTTATCCTAGGTCAGGGGTAGGATCCTGGCCATCCAGGCAGCATGGGGCATGAGCTTCTTCTCCTGGTGTGGGTCTCAAGTTAGACAAGTCATTGGATGTCCACTCTCATAAACTCTGAACTACCCTTGCCCCCCAGCACATCTTGCAGCCAGGACAGATTGTGGGTTGAGCATTTTGTGGCTGGGTTGGTGTTCAGTCCCTTACTGGAAGTCTTGCCTGGGCCTGGTTACAGAAGATGGCTGGGTCAGGCTCTGTACTCCCGTTACTAGGAGTCCTCACTGTAGTAACCCTCATAGATTCCAAGTAGTTTCCACTGTACTGGGTTTCCATTATCTTTCCCTAAATGACCCCCAATTCCAGTCATCTCTCCTTGAACTCTCTTTCTCTGTCCCCTCCCCCACCTGATCCCTCCTGTTCCCTCCTGTTCCCATCCCCACCTGCCCACAGTCCACCCACAAACTCTGTTCTATTTCCCCTTCCCTGGAAATCTGTCTGCCCCCCCATAACCCTCCTTGTTTCTTAGCCTCTCTGAGTCTGTGGATTGTGTCGATCATGTACACAATTTCTCTTTGTAGATAATACTCACTTCCATTTTTATATCATATGGAGTGTTGTTCAGTGACTACCAGATAACATGAATTACTGACTTTTGAGCAAATATATAACTACCCATGACATATGATACCATTCTTTCTGGTTTAAATTATTGTTAGTGACATGTAATAAACTACAAGTTCTTTTCCAGAAGGTGTGCTTCTCACTGCTCTGGGTTCTCTTTTTTATGCCCTTAAACTACTTATATTTTAAAAATTCTGTTCTGGGAAGCAGCAATATGTTATTAGTTGATGTGTCCCTCTGGCTACATTAAATCTTATGTTAATGAATCTAGAATTCTTAGGACTTAGCAGAACTCCTGTGGATAGTTTCCTACAAACCTACAAATGTTCATGAGGATGTGTCTTTAGAAATCGTGTAAGAATATGTAATCTAAACACCATTCTTCATCATCTGAAGGTGAAGTCTTCCTTCTGCTGGTGGGTTTGTACTCGTCTATAATAAGGGAGGCAGAGTATAGTCAGGTACTGTTACTAATATCTTATGAATAAAGACATTTTGGGATGAAATACTTGTTGTTGTTCTAAACCATCATTGTTTCCAACTTCTTCCCTTCCTTTCCCTTGATTAAGTAGCAACTATAAACTCAAAGTCTGATACTAACTGGGAAAAATTAAAAAGGTTCAACATAAGTTCCTCTGAATTTCAGCTTTATGGGAAGCTCATCCAGCATTGTAATTCTTAGGGCCTCTTTCAAAGTTCCCTCCCTCCAGTAAGTGGCACACCTGAAGATTATTGTAAGTATGTGCTGCCAAACTCTGTTACGTATTCAATAAATTCCTGTCTTTTGTTTTCAAACGTTTCTGCATATGAATTTTAAATTGAAAATATTAATACATTTCTTATAATGAAAAAAATGTCAGAAACTCATCTTAAGCCATCAGTTTAAAAGTGAGAATTTTATGTGTTGAACATAGAAAATAATTTGTGAAGAAATGTTTAAAATTACCCTTTAGAATCCTGTGTTCTAGACCAGGAAGGTGACTTAGTGGCTAAGAGCGCTGAGTCTGTAAGCATGAGGACCTGAGTTTGAATCCCCAGCACCCCTGTTGAAAAGCTGGACATGGCTGCTGTAGTCAGGCTTTTCTTTGGGCCACCAGCTCACAAAAACATGACATAGAGACTTAACATTAATTATGAAAGGTTGGCCAGTAGCTTAGGCTTGTTTCTAACTTGCTCTTACAACTAAAGTTAACCCATTTCTATTACTTTATTTCCTCCCTCATGGCATCCTTACCTCATCTCCAGAGAGTCCATCCTGTTTGCTCTGTCTCCTAGAGTCTCTGTCTCTCTTCTTCCCAGAGTCCTCTCTGCCTAAGAAATCCTGCCTGGCTATTGGTCATTGAGCTTTTTATTAAACCTGTCACAGTGACACATCTTCACATGGTGTAAAGAAATATTCCACAGCAGCTGCTCCTATCTGTAACCCAAGCATAGCTTGGGGCTGGATTTTAACAGTCAGCTGCCCCAAAACAACAAGCCTCCATTTCAGGGAGCAGCCTCATCTGAAGTAACATGGAGAGGCCTATAGTAAAACTCGGTCAGAGCCCTGCTGTGATGTATGATGCACAGGTGTAAACAGACACACATACACACATAAAAAAACTGTCACATTCTTACCATCATCTATAGCCAAGAAAATATGACTTTAATGAAAGCCAAGTTGAGAAGACCTCCTAATAACATAGGAAGGCAGATCCTTCTTCCTGAGGCTAGAGTGGGTATGACAGTAGCTAGAGGAATAGTTACATCCAGTGCCAAACTGCTAGGGTTGTTTAGTCTAAGTGGGACCCTGTTTTCTTTCAACAAAATAGAGGTAATAATAATATAACTTCCTAGGGTACTATAAAATTTTATAGTGTACATATGCTCATACAAGTATGTGGCATATAAATTTAATTTAAATGTATAGCACTGTATTGTAGCAGGTACAAGTGCTTTACAAATATTGGGTATCACTTTCTTGTATAACATATAGATTATAGATGTATTATCTGCTATATCAGAAGTTTCCCAATTTAAAATTATCACTAAGGACTTTTATATGCTAAACATTTGAGAAGTCATCTTACTATATATTAGGAACAGGGACTGTAGAGATAGCTTAAGAGCACTGGCTGCTCTTCCAGAGGTCCTGAATTTAATCCCTGCAACCACTTGGTGGCTCACAGCCATCAATAATGAGATCTGATGCCCTCTCCTGGTATGAAGGCAAACATGCAGACAGCACTCTGTCTGCACAATAAATAAATAAGGAAATCTTTTTAAAAAATAAAATAAGGTAAATTGAGAACATTGTACTAAGTAGGTTAGTAAAGTCACTCTGCCATCTCATTCTTCATCCCTAATAAATGCATTTCATCACCACAGCAGACTATAAAATTTTGTCTTAATAAGACTGATGGGAAATAAATACAGAACCAATTTATAGTAATTATTATTTTTAGTAAACTTATTGGTTCCTGCCTTTTGTTGTTGTTATTGTATTGGTTGTTATTATTAATGTAATTTGTGTTCAAGTTATTGTTAATATACAATCTACTTTTAGTAAAGGAATACTTTTCTATTTCCTCTTCATTTTAGTTAAGAGTCCTAACTAGCATAAGATAATATCTGTACATAAGTATTCAAAATGCTTTCCTTCAGACAGGGTCCCATGCTGTAGTTCTGAGTGGCCAGGAACCTGCTATGTAGACTAGGATGGCCTTGAATGCACAGAAGTCCATTTGCCTCTGCCTCCCAAGTGCTAAGATTGAAGACGTGTGTCACTGTACCCAGATTTCAAAACACTTTTGTGTCTGCTGATGACAACTATAAAAAGAGATCATTTGATTCATATGTGCTTCCCTGTAAATGTTATAAAATATATATTTGTGGATTTTATATAGGATTTGACTACTATATGAAAGACATTCAGCTTGAAAAACTTTTTCTTAGTGTGCTTGTGTTGGTAAACAGTGTTCAGTTCTGATTTTACATGAACTACAAAAGACACCAAACCTGAATAACCTTTTTTGTTGGCCTTATCCTGAAAACGAAATTTGAGGAAAGGTTAATAATAAGCTTTCATTATCTTTTGATTTCTAACTGAAATATTCTCTGATATAATTAATTTATAAGTAATTAGCCTAATACAAAAAGGTCTTAAAGCACCAAACAGACAAGGGAAGGAGATTGTCTTAATGGCATATTATTATGCCATTAAGTTTAACATTTTTAAACTTTTAAATTGAAGGAATATACAATAATTATTTTATTGCATAGCAGCTGTCAGAGGCACTGAAGAATCCCAAAGTACTCGAAATGATAGTCATCATTAAATTATGCCATTTGGTTTTTGTTTGTTTTGGTTTTTATTTTTTTTTTCAAGATCACATTTCTCTGGTTGTCCTGGAACTTGCTCTGTAGACCAGGCTGGCCTCAAACTCTGAGATCCACCTACTTCTGCCTCCCAAGTGCTAGGGTCAAAGGCATGGGCCACCACTGCCTGGTGCCATTTGTTTCTTTATTGGTAGTATTCCTTAGATTAGAAGTTCCTATTTTAATTGTCTGAATAGATAATCAATTTGATAATGTTAATTTGCTTGACAAATTATTATTCTTTTCTGTTTTCCAATGAACAAAACAGAGAAGCTTCCAAAATAGGTAAGAGAAGTCACATAAACACCATGATAAAGGGGAGATGCTATGAGAAAATTAGTTATAATTTTAATGCATTATAAACCATTAAGTACTATCACAAGATATTCTCTTTAGTGAGAAAAAATTCAATATTTTTTTATCCTTATTTTCAGTAAAAGTTACCAAAGCCTTGAACAGTTATCAGCAGAAGTTAGCCTTTCTCAGGCCTCACTGGATCCCAGCCATTCACAAGAAGGAGATGGGAAACAAGACTCATTCAATTTCATTGGTGAAGGTAAGTGTGTTCCTAGTTTTATGCCAGCTTGACACATGCTAAAGTCATTTGAGAGGAGAGAGCCACAATTAAGAAAATGTTTCTGTTGTTGGTTGTTTATTCTTTGTTCTTTTGGCTCTGTGGGGGGGCCACCACCCAGCCCCCCCCCCTCTCATGTCCCTTCCCTCCTCCCCGGAGTAAATGACACCTGAAATCTTATTCTTTTTTTTATAAACACCCAGCCTTTGCTTGGCTAATTTCTTGCCAGCTTTTCTTTTCTTTCTTCTTTTTTTTTTTAATTAGCTGTTTGTCATGTAATTCTTTTTTATATATAAATTTTATTTAAATGGGAAACAATCTTATATACCAATCCCAGTTTCCTCTCCCATTCTCCCACGCCCCCCCACTGACCATCCCATCAGCCAACCACTCCTTAGGGAGGATGAGGCCTTCCATGAGGAGTCATCAAAGTCTGTCAAGTCATTTGGGGCCAGACCTAGGCCCTCCCCCATGTCTCTAGGCTATAGGAGTAACCCTCCATGGGAAATTCCTGAAGTTCTAGGGATACATCCTTGTTCCACTGCCAGAGGCCCCATAGACTGCCCAGGCCTCCTAACTGAGACCCACATTCAGGGGACCTGGTTTGGTCCTATGCTGGTTTCCCAGCTATCAGATTGGGATCCATGAGTTCCCACTTGTTCAGGTCAGCTATTTCTGTGAGTTTCTCCAGCCTGGTCTTGACCCCTTTGTTCATCACTCCTTCCTCTCTGCAACTGGATTCCAGGAGCCAGCTTTTCTTAAATTCAATAATCCTGACTACCTTTGCCTCTGGGCTTTTTCCTTTTCCTCTGTGTCACTTACTTTCACTCTTACTTTGTGGCTGGCTGAGTGTCAAGGGAGCTGGACCCTGACTTTCTCCTCTCCTTGTTCTATCTTGATCCTTCCTCCTTCCCAGATTTCTCCTCCTCTTTATTCTCCCTGCCTGCCCTGCCTATCATTTTTCCTGCCTTGCTATTGGCCATTCTGCTCTCCAGGTGTTTTTTTTTTTTTTTAAGAGTTTTTTTTTTTAATTTTTTTAAATTTATTTTATATAACAAAGTCCATTTAAATGAAAACAAACATTTATAGACAATATTTGGGAATTTGGGCGTCGTTCTTTCCAAACTACTTCCTGCTGGTAAGGGGCGCTGTCATGGGGGATTCGAAGAAGATGAGAAATCCTGGCTGTGTCTGTAAGGCTGTTTGTCCAGCTGTTTTGAATGTAGGATCACCTCGTACTCTGTTTCAGGCGGTCTGGCTTGATCAAACCACATTAGTCTGGAAGGAATCCACATCTTTTCATTTTCTGTGGGAAAAAAATAGAAATCCTTTTCCCCAGTAACTTGTCCTTGAACTTAAATTTTGGAATCAAAGCATTTTTTTTAATTTAATTTATTATTTTACGTGTAGATCCCAGTTCTCTCTCCCTCCTTCCCTTCCTCCCTCCCTCCTTCCCTTCCTCTCTCCCTCCTTCCCTCCCTCCCTCCTTCCCGTCCTCCCTCCCTCCTTCCTTTCCTCCCATTTATACTCTCTGCCCTCTCACATGCACTCTAACCACCCTCCCCTCCCATCCCCCCACCCCAATTCCATATGTAGGGGAATGCCATCCAGTTGGGGTCATGTAGATCTGACAGGTCATGTGAAGTAAGGACTAGGGCTTCTCTCCTGTCTCTAGATTAAGGCAGTTAACCCTCCATGGGGGATGTGTTCGCAAAGTCCTTTTGTGCACCAGGGATAGACCATCAGGTGTTTTAGACACGCAGAGAATCACAGCTTCCAGCGTTAAACAAGTGAAACATAAAAGAATGCAACACATTAAGCAAATGTTCCACAGCATATACAAATATAACACACCTTAAAATAATGTCCCACAACATGCCTCCAAAAGTTTGGGCTGAAAGCAAGCCCATAGGACATTTTCCTCATTAGTGACCGATAGAGGAGGGTCCAGCCGTGGTGGGTGGTGCCATCCCTGGGCTGCTGGTCCTGGGTTCTGTAAAAAGGTGGGTTGAGCAAGCCAGTAAGCACCTCCCCTCTGTGACCTCTGCATCAGCTCAGGCCTCCAAGTTCCTACTCTGTTTTGAGTTCCTGCTCTGACTTCCTTTAGTGATAAACTAGGTTATGGAAGTATAAGCCAAGCAAACCCTCACCTCCCAAATTGCTTTTATCATGGTGTTTCGTTTCATCACAGCAATAGTAACCCTAACAAAGACAGGAAGGAAATGGCTTTGGTACTTGTGAGTAGTTTAACATATCTGGCCTTAAGAACAAAGTGTTCTTCTGTAGCCCACACCAACCTTAAATTTGTAATCCTTTTGACTCTGACTCTGGTCTCTGGGATTACAAACATGTCCCACACATTTGTAAATAAATAATAATTAAGTATAATCAAAGTGTATTTTTAATAAATTGTGTTCATTGATAACCACATACATGTTTTAATAAGTATTGGTTACCCCTTCAGCCTCTCATTTTCCTCCCATACCTGCAGGCCCCTCCCCTTCCTTACAGATCTTTTTCTCATAATCATTACTGTTGTTTGTTTTGTGTCTCACAGAGTTTAACTAGGGCTGTGTGAATGACCCTGTGTTTATAACTATCCATCAGAGCCTCCTTGCTCCCTGGGGCCTTTACAAGTAGATGCTATGTCTCTGACTCTTCTCCCAGAATCCATTATGTTGCCAGTAGACCAGTGTAGGACCCTATGAGCTTCTTCCTTTCCATGGCTGACTGCTGGGAGGCCCCAACTTGTGTGGACCCAGTGCCAGTAGGCACATTTGCTCAGAGTTGTTCACATGATTGCTTTGACCTTGTGTTGAGGAGTTGGCATTTCACAGGCTCCCCCTTACTTGAGCCCTAAGTGGTATAAGTATCTTAATCAGGGCTGAGCCCTTCATTATTTTTGATTCTCAGCATTTGCAGTCATAGATCTCTGCATTATTTCCACTCACCGTGAGGAGAGTTGCTCTCATTAAGCCCGAATAGCCTTTGTCAGTCTGTCCTGAATAAGCTACATATGGGGAAAAAAATTTTTTTAAGTGTATAAGTATTTCATTATTTGGTTAAATTTACTTCTATGTATGCCATTCTTTTGGATTATATTATAAATCAAATTATTTTCTCAGTTTTTTCAGATTTTTAATTGCTTCTTTTAGAATTTTAAGCATACATTTTTTTTTAAATTATCTCCTTTCCCTGTCTACCTGTAAAAAAGAATAAAGGGGACTTTAGTTATTCATAATAGTCTCAGAATATTTTACTCATTCTATCTCTCTATCTATCTATCTATCATTTTTGAGACAGGGTTTCTCTGTGTAGCCCTGGCTGTCCTGGAACTCACTCTGTAGACCAGGCTAGACTCAACTCACAGATCTGCCTACCTCTGCCTCCCTAGTGCTAGGATTAAAAGCATGCTCCACCACTGTCTGACTTTTATTTTATTTTATTTTATTAAGACAGCCTGCTGAGAACTCACACCATTCCTCAGGCTAGTCATGAATGCTTAATTCTAGAACTTCTTCATCTCCAGCTTTTCACTGGGCATGTTTAGTGGAAAGTTCCCTCTCCTTCCCTCCCATGCCCCACGAGCCCCCTTTATCCCATTCCCCACCCACTCCACAAGGATGGTGAGGCCTTCCAGGAGGGATCATCAAAACCTGTCCCTCCTGTCTCTAGGACTAAGGGAGTATCCCTCCACCGGAAATGTGCTCCCAAAGTCCTTTTGTGCACCAGGGATACATCCTGGTTCCTCTGTCAGAGGTCCCTTAGACTGCCCAGGCCTTCTAACTTGAGACCCATGTTCAGGGGGTCTGAGTTGGTCTAATGCTCGTTTCCCAGCTGTCAGTCTGGAGGTCTATTAGCTCCCCCTTGTTCAGGTCAGCTGTCTATGTGGGCTTCTGTAGCCTGGTCTTGACCCCTTTTCTTATCACTCCTCCCTCTCTGCACTGGATTCCTGGAATTCGGCTCAGTGTTTAACTGTGGGTGTCTGTTTCTGTTTCCATCAGCTACTAGATGAGGGCTCTATGACGGCATGTAAGTTAGTTATCAATCTCACTATCAGGGAAGGGCATTTAAGGTAGCCTCTCCATTGTTGCTCAGTTGTTAGTTGGGGGGGTCACAGGAAGACTGAGTCAGGGACGAATAAATGAGAGCAAAAAAAGAGATAACCATAATAGAAGGAGTCATTATAGGTTTGAATAGAAAACTGACTCTAGAGAAATGTCCAGAGACCTACAAGGATGACCCCAGCTATGGGAGTTTTTCATGGCTTTATGGTCTCGCTGTGTGATTCATGAAGGCTGTTACTTCTGTGTGATTTTTATCTTAACTTCCAGGTAAAGAAGATACTCCCTCACTGCTTGGTCTCTGTGGGTCACTAACATCAGTGGCAAGCTACAAATCCCTCACGAGCCTAAAATCCAATGACTGCCTTGCAAGCCCCACAGCTGAGATGAAAAGTCCAGGCCGGACTCCATCCTGAAAGACTACGGAAAAACCCAAAGTCTCTGTATTGTATATATTCAGTTTCCATAAGTTTGACTGCTGGAGAGATGTTTGAAATTTTATATTATTCTGGTACACGTATGGCATTTTGTTGTTTGGAAATTTCAGCCCAGCCCATGTAAAGTCTGAGGGAAAATAGTCTGCTATTTTTCTTTTTTAAAAATCTTACGTTTGTCATTGAAGGTGTTTGAAATTGAAATGGCTTTAAAGGATTCTTTCAAAGGCCTGAATCCATTGTAAACTGTACAAAGTTGTTAAATAATTTTTATATCTTTGCTTGTTTACATTCATCTTGGTGCAGAGGCTGGGCTCAGGTTTTGTTCAAGACTTAAAATTTGTGCTTTTTTCACTCCTTTATTTGGTGGTTAAATTTGCACAGAAGACAACTAATTTCCTTAAGTATTTCCTAAGTTCCAGTGTCCACACAATGTGTTTGTACAGGAGCAGGCGCCCAGCCACAGCACCACAATGGCTTCTTTAGTTTTCCTTTTATCATTTATCATTGGGTACCAACTTTTAGCATTTCACAGTTTTGTAACTATGTACCTTTTTAGGCATTTGCTGAATTAATTTGTAAGGTATGTAGGAAAAGCATTTTATATCTAAGAAAATGAATACATTTCCTAGACGCATTTTCTCAGGATTTTCTTTTTAAATTATAGATTTTAAAATGTGATCAGGTGTGCCTGAGAGGTTGGAACCATTCCAAAATGCAGAACAGATGTTGGAAAGGTGGCATTTAAATCAGAATTTCCAGTGTAACTAAGGATTTGAGAAACGTTTAAATGGAGAACTCCTGTGTGACCAGCATACCTGACTGAATATACATCTGAGCTACAATGTTATCTCCCCCGTGTGCAATAATTAATTACATCTTGGATGTGTCACACCCTTTATAATTATACCATGACCTCATTTTAAAAACTGATCTTAGTGTTTAAAAATCCTATGTCTATGGGAAAAGTGTTTTTTTTTTAATAGCCACATTTCCAAATCTTTTTGTAGTTCTTAAAACAGCTACACATGTCCCTAAAAATTACACCATATTGAAAATGTATGAAATATGTTTTCTATAGTGAGTGATGAGGAAAACAAGTGTGCCAAAGAAGTTTTCTATGCTGTTTACATGAAGACGTCACAAAACTTACTGGGGACTTCATGAGGTGTTTTTGTTTGTTAATTTTTATATTCAAACCTAGCAGCTGTGACATGGAGGAAGTTGGTCCTCCTATAAGACTGTGTGTCCAAAGTGTAGGGATTGGAGGTTCTTGGAAATGCTTGGAGCTTAGTCTCATGATGTGGAATATGAAGTAATTAATAGTGGTGTGATTCAGTCTTACAGTGAGGCAGTATACACATAGTCATTTCAGGGGCAAACGAGGCTTGGGAGCTCATGACAGACTTCGTATTGGATGTGTCAGAACATGCTGAGAGCTTTTTTCCCCATAGCTGAAATCTTTAATACTTGTACAGATGCATACATTCTTGGAAAAAATAACACCTCCAGCTGTTCTGAATAGTGTACACTATATTAAAAACACAGCATTCAAAGCCGCTTTTAATTAGTATGGGGATAGAGGATGAAGACCTTGGGCCTGAGGGAGGGAATGAGGAAATAGATGGTCAGGAGAACTTGGAGAATTTCAGGCTGGTCATACACATGCCTCCACTTTCCTAAGAACTAAATGCTTAATGCTTTATCATCCTGACCTGCTCTCACCCGACAGTTTTGATTCTTTCATATATTAAAACCTTGTTACGATCTTTTCATACATTTTTTTTATAAAGTAGGAGGCAACACAAGATTCTCTAGTTGGTACACTTTTTCAGATTTGTCAGATAGAAACGCTAGTTTGTGCATGTAACCCTGCTGCAAACCGCAGGCTGAGACATGACACCTGAGGATAGTGGCTTTGGTATAAAATTCATCCGCTACTATGAAATTCAGGTTCCTGCAGTTCATTTCAAACCAGAGGCAGTTTATAAATGTTTGCATGAATAAACAGTGTGTGTCTCAACCTTTAATTTTCAGTGGTAGTCTTTATTTTCCAGAACCCCACAAAGAATGCTGAATTATGTCTCTTTCCATGTGTATTTTGTTGCCTTGATGTACTATATTTGTTGCATGTATATTAAAGTTTTTTTTAAATAATACAGTTATGGTCTTGTTCCTTGACAAAAATAATTACCCAATTCAAGTGTTCACTGAACTTCAAATCCAGCAAATATAATGAATAATGTGGATTAATTATACCTAAAATACTAATGAATGTGATTTGAAGAAATCCTTTTATTCAAGCTGAATTATATATGTACTTTTTAAAATACTCTTTATAGACCACATGACATTTTTAGAATTACTGACAGGACAGGTCCCATATAATATGAAGCTGACAGAAATTTTGATATACTCTAAAGTTATTATAATTCAAGCACTAAAGGATAGGGGAAGATAAGGAAAGTTAAATCAATCAGAAGCTTACAGGCAAAATCCCACCAAAATTATAGTCATAGTCCCGAAAATACATTGACATATTGTCATCTTGTGGCTATGTGATGTAATTGCAATTTGGAGTCACCTGCTCTAATAAAGACAAGGTTAAAATTCACTGAATATAGAACAAATTTCTCCTTTATCCTTCTCAAGGGCATTTCTTGGAACTTTCCAGAAGTTTCAGGACATTGCTCATGATATATAATGGACTCAGGGATTCCTACCAAAGAGTCCCTTCTCATTGCAGTATTATCTACATGAGTGCATTTCCTGCTGCCACCCCCTCCCATGGTAACATGACTAAAGCAAGACAGAAGAAAGCTGAATATTTTTTTTTCTGACAAACTCTGTCCTAAACTGTGTCTAAGTTCTTTTTCTTGTGCAGGCAGCAGGCAATGACCCTCAGACTCTAATAACATACTTTAGCAATCAGGCAAAGTGTTCTTTCTATAATATGAATTTTAAATCAAGTTTGATAATCACAATAGAAAGCTGTTTCATTAGTATGCTAAAACCAGTAAATTAGAAGTAGATTAAATGTCATAGCATATATTTATTATATGTAATAATAAGTTTCATTATGACAGTGATCTGAAGATCTTAATATTGCACTCCTTCAATATTCTTTCTAAAAATGATTGATGTTTTCTGAAGGTCTGGGGGTTTATTTTCATCAAGTAGATTGGTCTATGGTTTTCTTTTTCATGTGTCTTTATGTAGTTTTGGTGTCCGGATAACTATAGCTTCATAAAATGAGTTTAGTAGTGTTCTGTCTTTTACTATTTTATGGAAAAGTTTGAGAAGCCTTGTATTGGTTCTTTGAAGATCTGGTAGAGTATAGTAGTAAACAGGCTTTTTAAAAATTGTACAAAGATTGTCTGAATCTGTTGTAAACTGCACATAGTTGATGTTCACCTGATTTTTATATACTTGTTTAAATGTGTTTTGGTATACAAGGGCTGGGTCCAGGTTTTATTCTAGAGGATTAAGCTTAGTGTCTTCTTCCTCTCCTTTATTTGGTGGTTAAATTTTCACTAAAAGGCAACTAATTTCATTAAGTGTTTCCTACTGAGGAAGGCTCAATTTGGCTAGATTTTTTTTTTTTATTCAGGCGTTTTTATTACTATATCAATTCTATCGATTGTTATGCAACTGTTTATTATTTAATGTTGCATTAGTTTTTGTAGGTTATATACATCTAAATATTCATCCGTTTCTTTTAGATTTTCCCAATTTAACAGAATATATATATATATATGTATATATATATATTATATATATATCCCAACAATTTTCTGAATTTCATTGATATCTGTCATAATGGCTCACCCTTCATCTCTGATTTTATTAATCCGAATCCTTCTCTCATGCTTTTGGCAAATTTAGTTGATCTTATTTAACTTAATCAACTCCTTTTTTCATTAACTCTTAGTGTTTTTCACTTCCATTTTATTAATTTCTGCCCTGATCTAATTATTTCTTCCAACCTGACTTTGAGTTCGGCCTTTCTGGTTTTCCCAAGTCCCTCAGGTGTGTCATTAAATTTTTGTTTTTGTGTTTTGGTTTATTTTAATTCTAAGAACTCTGGATTCCTTCATCTCATCGTCATTGACCAGTCCATCATTTGAGGCAACTTTTCTGTACTTTCTCTTGCTGTTGATCCGCCATTTTAGTTCATTGTGGTCAGATGGAACTCAGGAGCTTTTTCAGTTTCCCTATACTTGTTAAGACACAGTTTCTATCCTAATAGAATATCCGGTTTAAACATAAGTTCTGTGGGCTCCTGAGGAAAATGCATTTTCTGCAGTGCTTAGATGGAATACTTGATAGATGTCTGTTAAATCCATCCAGTCTGTGATCTCCTGTCAGTTGATTAGGATGGGCTCTCATAATTTACCACTGTTGTTATGCTTCTGACTTTACAATTACTGGGACCTGTTTTATGAAATTAGAGATACCCGCACTTGAATGTTTAGGATTGTAATGTCTCCTTAGTGGATTGTTTACTTAATCCATAAGGAGAGGCCCTTTTTTTTTTTTTTTTTTTTAATCTCTTCTGAGTAGATTTGATTTAAAGTCTATTTTGTCAGATAATAAAAAAGTAACACCTGTTTGGCTCCTGCTTCCATTCTCTCAAAATACATTTTTCTATCCTGTCCTCTAAGTTAGCATTTGTGTTTTATGAAATAAGGTTCTTGAAGACAAAAAAAAAAGATAAGTCTTGCATTTTAATACACTTTATTGATCTATGTCTTCAGTGGTGGAATTGAGATCATAACTATTTAGAGTGATACTTGAGTGATGTATATTTATGTCTTGTCATCTTGTTGATTTTGTAGAATTTTGTGTTTCCTATTCTTGCTTAACTATTCATCTAAAGTGGTTTACAAGGCCTGTGGGTGTGTTTGTCTTTCTATTCAGTCCAAAGAATTCCTTCCCATACCCTTTGCAGAGCTGGTTTAGTGAATTCCTTCAGCCTGTTTTTGTCATGGAAAGTTTCCTTTCTCTCTCTACTGTGGCTGATTACTTTGCTGGTATAGATGGGGCGGGCAGTTGTTTTCTTTAAAACTTGAAAGATGTTATGCCAAGATCTGTCCTG